CCTGTGATGGTGTTTTCTCATTTTTCCAGTTTTTGGCAAATACAATCCTAGCCGCTGTTAATACATTTACAATCAAATATTTCAAGTCTTTACTATATATTTCAGGTAAAATTCCCAATAAAAATATCTCTGGTTTCAAGTCTATATGTTTTTTTGTCATTTTTTCCAATTACATGTGGATTTTAGTCCAGTATTTTTTAGCATCCGCACAAGTCCACCACATATGGTAATATGAGCCAAGAGTCTGATGACATTTCCAACATTTTTTGGATTTATTCTTGAACATTCTTGCTATTCTTGTTGGGGGAAAATGCCACCTGTAAAACATCTTATACAAATTTTCTTTATATGCTGTTGACATTGTCATTTTATAATTTTGAGACCACAATTTTTGCCATTTCTCTAAATCAATCCCATATCCAAAATTCTTCCCCCAAGCAATCATAGTTTCTTTAACTTGTTCTTCTTCTAATTTAATTTCTAATAAATATCCATACAATTTTTTAATCACCTTTTCATCAGTACCTGTCAAAATCTTATCTAAATCATTCAATTTATCATAGAAACCTTCAATTTTAGAATCTTTATCATACCTTGAATGTATTTGCGCATATGAAAACCAATTCATCATTATACCTTGTTCCTCTAGTTTTTGTATAGATTTAAGTTCACCCTTTTCATTCAATATTTCACCATATCTAACTGTTTGTTCCTTCTTATATATTATAGGATAGGAAAATGCTTCAATAGTTGATAACCAGACTGGAATTTTCAAATAGTCTTTTCATGGTATTTCTTTTCCTTGTATAGTCTATTATCAAGCCTCTGGCATATGCCTTCATTGTATCCCATATGTTCTGCATTGATGTATCTTCTTTTTTGTTTTCTCTAAAGAAGAAAGCCCGTTCTTTTTCCATCCACTCCATCCATTTTAAAGTCTTTTTCCTTTAAAATAGTATTATTTAACGTCCATCTAGATCTTCTTTTTTGTCCTTTCCATTTAATTGTCATTGGATTGTGATCTGCTCAAGTACTTGTTTCAATATTTATTTCTTGAATATTAGTTATTAATTCTGATGACATCCATATCATATCTATTCTGGACCATGATAAGTGTCTATTTGAATAGAAGGTGTATTGTTTAGTTTTAGCATTTCTTTCTCTCCATGTATCTTTTAAGTTTATTTCATCTACCATTTTTTAAAAAAGATTTAGGGAGAGTCTTTCTGTTTTGCTTTATTGTTTTCTGTGTTGTATAGTCCAATTTATTGTCTACAATTCCATTAAAATCTCCCATCATAACTATATTAGCATAGTCCAGTTCAATTATTTTCATATGTAATTTTTTGTAGAATTCTTCTTGTTTGTCATTCGGAGCATAGATTGCAATCAGGAGTGTTTTCGTATTATTGTCCATTATTTCCACCATTAGTATTCTTCCGTCATCATTGGTATAAATCAATTTTGCTGGGATGATCTCTTTAATATATAAAACCACTCCTCTTTTCTTACATTGTGTCAAGGAAGTAAATATTTTCCCTAGTTTTGGCTGTATCAACAATTGTTCATATTGTTTTTTAATATGTACTTCTTGTAGACAAATTATATCAAATTTTAATTTCTCTATTAACGGCTGAGTTAAGTCCATTTATATTAATTGTAATCAGTTTTTTCTCTTCCATGATTATACTTTATAGGTAGGTTTGGCAGCTCTCGTAGATCTTGGTTCACGTTGTTCTTTGGCTTCCACCTTTCCACCTACTGCACCTTCTTTTTCAATCGCCATTTGGCAGTCCTCTTGAAATTCAATTAGTGAGATTTCTTTTTCTGCCTCTTCCTCTTTCCCTCCAAAAAATTCTGTATAAAATAATTCCGCTTTCTCAATTGAGTCAATTCTAATTCTATGTCTCTGTTCTTGCCATGTGAACATTAAACCTTCTGGAATCAGCCATCTATAATTCACCTCTTTTTTAAGTAGCATTTTAGTCAGGAATTGGTATTTTCTTCTCATCTCTCTCACTCTTCTGGGTATTTGTTTCAAGACCACAATCTCCTTGCCTTTATATTTCAATGTTTTCTCTTTTGCCACTTGCAATATTTGCATTTTAATGGCTTTCTTTGTAAATCTAATGTGAACTTCTCTTGGTAAGCTATTTCTCATCGCATATCTTGTGAAAACTCGATAAACCTCATCTATTCCATCCATCATCTTCTCTTGAGTTATTTCCAAAGCTTCAGCCAGTATTTCTATCATTATCTCAGCTAAGTTTTGTCCTTTTTCTTCCTCTATATTTTGGAATCTAAGATAGAATTATGATCTATCCATCTCCCATCTCAACATACCACTTTTATCTTGTTCAACCACCATTAATCTATTTCAATATCTCCAATCTTCTTGTCTCTTTATTTATCTTCTTCAATTTTTTGGAATCTCTCATCATACTTCAACATCATTTGTTGGATGTTCTCCACTTTTTCATTGGTTTTCCCTGTTTTTTGTTCAGTGTTCTCTGTTCTTTGTTCAATGTTCTCTATTCTCTTTTCAATATTCTCTGATCTTGCTTGAATATTTTGAATTCCTTGCATAATCATCTGCAGAGTCACTTTTTCTTGTTCTTTTTCTTGCTTTAACATTGTCTGTATTGAACGTTGTCCTCCAGATAGCGGAGAGGAAGAAGTAGAAGTTGAAGAACCAGGAGCTGTAAATTTCCTACTCATTTTAAGCAATTCAAAATCCTCAGGTTCTTCTAAACCTTAATCCAATTGTGAAATAACCACTTGTAGTTCGAAATAAAAATAGTAGAAAAAAGAAGCCAAATAGTAATGATAAAAAAAAAGGGAGTACAAAATTTCTTCAGGTTCTTGTATACCTTAATCCAATCAGTAGTTAGATGAAGAAAAAGGCTTGGGGAAAAAAAGGAAAGGAAAATTTTTTCAGGTTCTTCAACACCTTAATCCAATTGAGAGGTCTCAAATAAAAAAGAGTGCATAAAAATAAACCAGAAAGGTAGATGAAAAAACAAAAATACCAGGAAAGGAGAAAAAAAGGCTATTCCCTTAAAAAAAAGGAAACTAATACTAAAGCTTTCCCTTTAAAATAAAAAGCAAGCGTAGAGATTGGACTTCCAAAGAAAAAAAAAGAAAAAAAAAGACAAGCTCCAACAAAGCCAAAGATCCAAATAGCTATTGCAAAAAAAAAAAAAAGATAAAATGAAATAAAATAAAGCTGGTGAGGAGGGATAGCACAACTTAGAAAAAGTAAAAAGAGCACACTGCACTTTGTTTAATTATCCAAGGCTCTTATTATAACTCTCTTCTCCAAAAACTTATCACCTTTTCCCCCCCTAAGTTTCAACACCAGACTCCAGCTGTTGATAGAAACCCAGAATAGCACCTGCAATAATACTCTCCCATGCTCTTCCCTCTATCTTATCAAATAGCAATGTCCTTGAAAAAAAAGTCTGTTCTTTCTTTCTCAGCTTTGTCTGGTCACAGGAGAAATAGAATATTTCCAAGCCTCTAGTTGCCAGTGTTACAAAGTTTCTTTGCTTTCACTTTCCCCCTCCTTTTCCAAGCAAAATATAATAAGAATTAATTTACAAAAAGCAAAAGATATTTTTAAAAAAGAAATAACTAAAAGGGAGTCTCTAGCCTAAAATGTTACAAAATCAAAAAGGAGAAAAAAAAATAGATGGAAAAGAAAAAAAACCAGTCCAGTTTCATAAGATCATGTATAGAAAATCCAGCAACGAGAAAAAAACATTACTTTGACATTCCTGTTTAAAGTCGCCGCTTAATCACTTCTGTCAAAACTTTTACAGATTCTTTCTTTTCCTTAGGGTGTCCTTTCAGATCTTAGAATAAAGAAAAAGTTCTCACCAAACCGGCACACTCTCTCTTTCTGTTCTCTTTCGTTTTGGAGCTGTCCCAACTTCAGCAGCTTTAATGGCTGCCTCTTTGTCGCTGACAGGAAGAGCTTCTCCTGGATCTACCAGGGACTTTGCGGTATCCCTGGGATCGACAGGATGTGCTCTTCACTTTCACCATCTCTTCGGGACGGTTTAGATCCGATAGGACCGTCTAGGAGCAAAGATATCAGCAGCGATCTCAGACCTCCAAGATCGCATGCCGTATCATCGCGACGCCATCTCCACCCTCTCACCAGCAAAGCTTAAGGCAGGGGTGTCAAATTGGATTCCTTTGAGGGCCAGATCAGCATTGTAGTTCTCCTCCATGGGCCGGGGAGGGGGGAGGAGGAGACATGGGATGGACGGCTCCTGCAGCACCCTGCCGGCTGAAAATGGGCCATGGGGGAGCCTTGTGTGCCCCCTCTCAGCCCGTTTTTTTGCCTCCATGGCCTCCTGCAGCACTCTGCTGGCCAAAAATGGGCAGCAGGGGGGCTCGTGCGACCTCCCCACTGCTCATTTTGGCCAGCAGAGGCACCGTGGGCCGGTCCCTTGATATTTCTAGCCCGGCCTCGTGATCCAGATCGAAGCACCCCGCGGGCCAGAACTGGCTTAAGGCAAGATTCACAGCAGATTTACACGCTAAGCAGGCAGGGGATTTAAGTTTCAAACAGTTTTCCCTTGCTAGAAGCAACCTCAATGTCTGGGTTTGGGTTCCTATGACTCTTGTTTCAAGTCCAATTATTTATGATCCCAAGGATCATAGATTAACTAAGACTTTGCTTCTTCCTCGGAATTCCTTGGCTTGATTTTGGATTGTTTGAGTTGGAATTCACCTTTAAAGTTCTTATCTGTGATTAATTGTTTGTTTTCCTGCTAGATCTCTGGCCTTGGAGTTGGGATTTACGGAAACAGCTCCTCCCTTTAACACTGTGTGTGCCCAGGAATTGTCTGGCTTCTGAATGGTTGCTAAGAAAGCCAGGATGCAAAAAAAATAAAATAAAAATGGGATCCCGGGTAGCATACAACAACAATCAAAACAATACCACAATCATAAGAACACTTTAAACATAATAAAAATGAATTAAAGGCAAGATGGTGAAGGATCAGATGGTGGCATGTATGTACAGAGGGGATCAGAGGAAGAGTCATATGTGGAGATAGGACCCAGGTGTGGATGGAATGGACATGAGAGTGAGGAATATGATAAAAACATTTTTCTCTTGTCTTCATTTCTGTGCCTTAAGCAGCATTGCTCCTTCCTGTCCCTCTCTACAGAAGGAGGGGGGTGGGTCACAGGGGAGTGGGGCTGCTGTCTTGGGCAAAGATTTAAAACTGCTTTTACTTTTTTCTGTGGAAGGAGGGGGGGGGGGGGGGGGGGGGCTGCTGCCTTGAGCTGCTCTGCAATAGGAAAGGGGTTGGAACTGCGCATTCTTAGCAAGGCAGATAAACCCCTAGCCAGGATATTAGGGATAAGAATAGCTTGCTTATATGAAAAAACCACACAGCTGGCACATGAAACTAGGAGACTTTGCAAGATATACGTGACCTGGCGTGAAACACAGGTGATGCGATATTTAGGGGGCTGAGATCCAAATAACCAATCAATATTGTCTGTTATGCATGCATTATTAGGGGAAGGGAAAAGGGCTGAATGCGACCACCCCTTGACTATAAAAATTGCTGTAAGATTGTAATCGGGGCCCTTGGTTAGCTTTTGAACCAGGGTCCTTATATCTTGGTACCAAAATAAAAGTATAATTTTGTATCACATCTTGTGTCCGGTGTGTTGGAAGAATTATCCTTCTGGGTTTAGTTCCAAGTGGGAAAAAAGACACTGGAAACATGGAGGCTGTTTAGAAAGATGGTTTAATGGTGGACAGGACCACATGGCTTGGAGCTCCAAAGAAGGATTATCACATGCTCCAAGGTGAAGGAAAAGAGAAGGAAGGCTGATATGCTGAGCGTGCCTGGTTTTTATAACCTCTGTTGAGATTTGAATTTGAGCTTGTATTCTCATTGGTTGTCAGACTCCCATCAGGCCATGCAGGGGCAACTCTGTAGGCTGTCCTGAGTCCCAGGCTTGGTTGAGCCTTGCTGGATGATGATGCACTGAAAAGGACTTTGAGCAATTGCTATAGCTTTACCTGGAGATCTTTGTTATGTAAAGTATTCTGGCCCAGGCCTTAATGGCCCACCATTAACAAAGGTGGGGGGTGAGCTTGTACTTCTGAGGTGAGTTTCTGCTTCTGATTTTCTACTCTTTTTAGGAGAAATATTCTGCCTTTTTAATATTTCCTAGGATATTTCAATTTTCTAGGAGAGGGGTGGGTGCTAACTTTGTGCAATTCTGACTAACATTTTCACCACTCTGCTACCCTTTCAGCTTTACACTCTGCTTCCTTTCTAGGTACAGTTGATGGAGCCTGTGATCCTAAAGCTGCCGAGATCCTAGGAGGCAATTATACTCTCCTGGAAGATGGAACCGCATTGACCTATAAGTGTCCTCAGGGACAGTATCCCCATCCGACACAATTCCGGTTTTGTAAGAATGGCAACCAGTGGAGCCTCTTGACGGACAGGGAGGGCAGGACTGTCGAGAAGGCCGAGTGTCGAGGTACGGTGGGTTCATTTCTCAAAAGAGAGGCATGGTATGACAACTTCTCAGAAGTGGTATTCAGCAGGTTCTGACCGGTTCTGGAGAACCGGTAGTGGAAACTTTGAGTAATTCAGAGAACCGGCAAATACCATCTATGATTGGCCCCGCCCCCTCGGCCTCCCGAGTCCCAGCTGATTGGCTGGGTCTTCTTTTGTTGTCCTGCACAGGAGAACAGAACTGGAAAGCAGGCTAGTGGGGTGGGGAGGGAATGGAGATTTTGAAGTATCCTTCCCCCAGGAGTGGGGAGGGAATGGAGATTTTACAGTATCCTTCCCCTGCAAGGCCCACCAAGCCACACCCACAGAACTGGTAGTAAAAAAATTTGAATCCCACTACTGCAACTTCCCCTCTTCCTTTCATACATTATCACCAACCAAGTCCTGGGTTTTCCACCAGAAGGCTTTATGTCACTGTATAAAAAAAAACCTGTGGGAGTCACTAGCAGGCTTATCAAAGTGCAAAAACATGTTTACTTTACTTTTGTCTATTGTAAATGTTTATAAAGCTGCCTATCTTAAAAAAATAACTCTGGGCAGCTTACAACCAATAAAACAATATTCGTCAGAATAAATCGAACAACAATAAGATTAAAACCAGGAAACCAGCATGCAACCCTGAAGCACCCACACACCTCCTTTTAATTTTTAACTTATTCTGTTGGTGTTTTGGGGTGGCTCCCATTTCCCGGAACTTGATATGTATCGTGTTTTTATGTGGTTTTCATTCTTTTTATCTGTAAACTGCCCAGAGTCACTTTAAGAGTGAGAGGGGCAATATCTATGTTTGATAAATGAATAAAAATAGCCCTGGTGGCACAGGGGTTAGAATGCAGTATTGCAGGCAAACTCTGCCCAAAGTCTGGAGTTTGATCCTGACCAGTTCAAGGTTGACTCAGCCTTCCACCTTTCTGAGGTCAGCAAAATGAGGAGGCAGATTGTTGGAGGCAATACGCAAGTAAGGGTTACATTATAAACCAGCCAGAGAGTGTTGTACGGGGTGGTATATAAATATATAAGTCTGAATGCTATTGCTAGTGTTAGGGCTGAGCCCCCAATTTCAATTTGCTAAGCAAGACAGTTGTTGAGTGAGTTTTGACCCATTTTTATGATCTTTCCTGCCCCTGTTGTTAAGTGAACCACTGCAGTTGTTACGTTAGTAAGGTGGTCGTTAAGTGAATCTGGCTTCCCCATTGACTTTGCTTGTCCAAAGTCGCAAAAGCGGGGATCACGTGACACCCCCCCCGGGACACTGTAATTGTGATAAATATAAGCCAGTTGCCAAGCATCCAAATTTTGATCACGTGACCATAGGGATGCCACAACAGTCATCAAAGTGAAAAATGGTCATAAGTCACTTTTTTCAGTGCCTTGTAACTTTAAACAATCACTAGCAATAGCACTTAGACTTATATACTGCTTCATAGTGCTTTATAGCACTCTGTTAATAGTTTACAGAGTCAGCCTATTGCCCCCAACAATCTGGGTCCTCATTTTACCGACCTTGGGAGGATGGAAGGCTGAGTCAACCTTGAGCCGGTCAGGATCGAACTTCTGGCAGTGGGCAGAGTCAGCCTGTAATACTGCATTCTAACCACTGCGCCACCACGGCTCTCTAAATGAATGGCTGTAAGTCAGTGGTGGGATTCAATTTTTTTTACTACCAGCTCTGTAAGCGTGGTTTGGTGGGTGTGGCAGGGGAAAGATACTGTAAAATCTCCAGTCAGAGGTGGTATTTGCCAGTTCTCTGAACTACTCAAAATTTCCGCTACCGGTTCTCCAGAAATGGTAAGAACCTGCTGAACACCACCTCTGCTGTAAGTCAAGGATTACTCATAGTGATATTTGGTATATCACTATGTTATAGGATATAACATAGTTAGGATATAACTTTCCTCTCATCACTTCCAACACTGTTGCTTCTAGGCATCTCGTAGTCTATGGAATTAATTGTGGTTTCACAATTGTAATGGTCTCTGATGAGCAGGGCCAGAATGATTGTGAATGATGGAACTGGAGGGATCTGGAGCTGCGATTGGATAGGACATGCGGAAAAATTGATTGTGTCAGGATTCCGGCAGTTACTCCAATTAAATCATGAGCCTCGAGCCACACTCCCAAAACTATAGAGGATTTATTTGAAGTTAACATTCTACGTCTGGCACTAACCTGGGTATAACCAACTCTGAGATACGTAATTCACTGTAACCCTTGATCCTGCTTTTCTCCCCCACTTCTCTGGGTGTATCATCCAACGAAACACGTCCATAGCCAAGAGTCATCAATCATGCTCTCCAGTTAGAATTTTTTGTGGCAGAAGCTTCAGCCATCTAATCAGTCTCTGAAGAAAATATGAATGGAATGTACTTTCGATTCCACACCGTTTCCTGCTCTTTGAAACTCCCCCCCCCCTTCTTTCTGTTGTCAACTATAAAACGTGTATACAAAATGTTTTATGAGTTGACAGACTGATGTTTTCTCTTCCATCTAGCCATCCGGTGTGTCAGGCCTCTAGAATTTGAAAATGGTGTATTTGAGATCTTCCAGCAATTTTACGAGATCAACCAGGAGCTGAAGTTCACTTGCTATGACGGACACAAGCTGCGGGGCCCCCAGATACGTACCTGTCTCCCCACTGGGAAATGGAGTGGAGAAACAGCTGTATGTGATGATGGAAGTGAGTCTGACTATTTGCGATCAAAATCTATTTTTTTGGGGGGGAAACATCTATGGAAATTCTCAATCATCCAGCTCATGGTTGTCCCAAAAATGCTTCTGAATGGAACTAAAGAAGCCTCTGGGATGAGAAATGAAACATTTTCAAAGATTAAAAAACCAGAAAGTCCAGTTGTCTTTTGGGAAGGTAACAAAAGAAGCACCGCTGAGATTCTCATTGGGGAATGCACATGATTTGAACTTGTAGTTTTCCCCTGGTTGCTGCATCCCTCTTGGCAGGTTCTTATAAATTTTGCTACTGGTTAAGCCAGAAGGTCAGGGCTTCTACCACTCTCCGCCATCTTGCTGCTTTTGACCTTTACCCTCAGAGGGTAGTCCAATCCCCTTTGAAGTGTGGACGGATCATAAACATTTAGAGCAATGGTGGTATTCTACTGGTTCAGCCCGGTTCTGTCGAGCCGGTAGCAGCGATGAGCAGTGGAGATCAAACCGTTTCTCTCCACTGCTCTGCTGTTGGGCCCACCTGTCCGCCTGGGCTTCCATACTCGCCCTTTGCGTGGCACGGAAAAGTGCCGCGCGGCAGCTGCTGAAGCAACCGGGATCGTGCAGGCTTGCAGAAGGTGAGTTAGAATGCCTCAGTGCCTGCACAAAGTGCACATTTGGTGCGCGTGCATGCAAAGTGTATGCATGCACGCAAAGCGCGCCCACCAAACCACACCCACCAAACCGGTGGTAAAACTATTTGAACCCCACCACTGACTTAGAGGCTTTAAAGTCTCCAAGGAAATTTTCTCCTAAACAAGTCAGGTGGGCTGAATATTTTAACCAACTTAATTTTAATCTCTGTTTCATACCAGGAGGGAAGAACGTTTTGGCTTCTTATCTGTGAAGATAGCAATGGCAATAACACTTAGATTCATATACTGCTTCACAGTGCTTTACAGCCCTAAGCGGTTTACACAATCAGCATTATTGCCTCCAACAATCTGGCTCCTCATTTTTACCGACCTCGGAAGGATGGAAGGCTGAGTTAACCTTGAGCCTGGTGGGATTTGAACTGCCAAATTGCAGGTAGCCGGCAGTCAGCAGAAGTAAGCCTGCAGTACTGCATTCTAACCACTGCACCACCGTGACTCAAGATAAGCTTTCCTACCCGACTCTGTGCCCTTCAAATGGACATGCTAGCTCAGGAGGATGGGAATTGTAGTCTCAGAGGAAGGTGCAGCTAAGAAGCAGCTGTCAAGAGTCTATCAAAGTCCAGAGGCTTAAATTCATATTGGAATACGCATCCAACTGATGATCCCTGGCTAACAACGTGCCATATGCTAAAAAAAAAAATTAAAAAAAATATTGAAGTCCTCACATCTTCAAGTTGCCAAGGTCTGACAAATGCTGGTCTAGAAAGATAGAATTCAAAACCAATGATTTCCCAAGGAGTGCGCATCATACATTGATGATGCACTGACCCGTTTGATGTTTGGTTTAACTGTTTGCCGCCGTGAGTCCTTGGGAACGTGGTGATGCAAAAATGGAATTTGCAGATAAATAAATACATTGGTGTGTCGTGCCTTCCCCCTCTCGTTTTCAGCTGGCCATTGTCCTGACCCAGGAATTCCAATTGGCGCTCGAAAATACGGCACGGAGTATAAACCAGGGAGCACGGTCCGCTACCAGTGTTCTAGAGGGTTGTCTCTTATCGGATCTAAGGAAAGAGTTTGCCAAAAATCAGGAATTTGGAGTGGATCAGAACCAGAATGTCGAAGTGAGTAAATAGGATAGGAAAAGATGGGCTTGGCATCTGAAAAGGTGAATCTAAAACTGTTATTGATTTCTTTCTTTTTTGCCATCATTTATGGAACTATTGTTTTTTTTCTTCTCTACCCTTATTCACTCTCTCTCACACACACACACAACACTGTGATGACCCGGGATGTGACACAAAAATAACACAGTCACAAAAATAGAATAAATTCCCTTTAATGCCTCCAACTTGGCCCAATGTCCAATTATCCTCGGCTGGATATCAAACTCTTAAAGAAAACAGTCTACGGAGGGAGTAAATGCAGTCCGAACCCAAAGTAAAGTTAACTAGAAATAAAAAAAAAACCAACACAAACCACACTGAAGTAATTAATACGGCAGGCCAGGATGATACATTGCAGACTTCTATCAGATAACACAGCAACCACAGTTGGGAGGAAGCCAAAACCCAGATAAGCTTCGACAAGTATAATGCACGCTTTGCTTCCAACAACTTTGCCATGTGCAGTTTGTCCTTTTAAACAGTCCTCCCAGCTGCAGCCCATGAAGGGGATCAGGGCCCTTTCCTCCCCCATAGACCACACCACTCACGTTTCTCCCTTATCCATTCCTCCCTAGGATGAAGAGGGGATGGGCCTGGGTCTTCCTCTGAATGCCCATCCGGCCTGTGCCCTTCCCCAGTTTCCTCCACAACCACCGGAGCAACACTCCCACTCCCTGTCAACTGTTCGACCTCCCCCTCAGAGTCAGACTGCAACAGGGGCATGACACACACACACACACACACACACACACACAAAACACTGGGAACCAAATTCACTATCTCCTTTTTTTCTTTCCCAGGCCCATTCACTTTTGATTCTAAAGAAGAAATCACCACCAAGTTCCTTCCATCCCTCATTGAAGTTGCTTTATCTGCCAGCCAAGGTAAATTTTTGCAAGCGTGGTAGGATAGGAGACCGCAGCATCGTTTTTCCTGGTTTTGTCACTGGGATCATTCTGGTTTTGTCAAGGATGTTATATCATCTTTGGTAGAAGGATTATTTGTGAAAGATTCTAATGCAATTGTACAATTTCTGATTGCTGCCACCTTTGCGAGGTGGGCCAGGTCAGGAAACAGACTGAGCAAGGATCTTGAGAGCTTGCCAGAATTTCATTCAGCCCCATCTTATGCCAAACAGGATCAAAATGTGGGGAGAAGTGCCCTGAGCATCCTTTAGGAAGAGCAAGTGGAAGGGAAAGCACCCTGATTGTCATGCTGCAAACCTCATGCCTTACGTTAGGGGTCGCCAAACTTGGCAAGTATAAGATTTATGGACTTCAAATCCCACAATTCCTTGGCAAGCATGAAATAGCAATAGCCCTTAGACGAATATACCGCTTCACAGTGCTTTAGTCCTCTCTAAGCGGTTTACAGAGTCAGCCTATTGCCCCTCAATGATCTGGGTCCTCCTTTTATGACTTCGGGAGGATAGACGCCTGAGTCAACCTTGAGCCAGCGAGAATCGAACTGCCGAATTGCTGGCAGCTGGCGGTCGGTCTGCAGTATTGCATTCTAAGCACTGCGCCACCATAGCTCTTCACAAGAAATTCACAAGTCTTAAAATGGCCAAGTTTGGAGGAATAGTCAACCCTCCAGAAGATAGGCTCACGATCCAGATGGATCTTGACAGACTTGAACACTGGGCCCTATCTAACAAAATGAAATTCAATGTACAATAAAAGTAAGATTTTACACTTAGGCAAGAAAAACCAACGGTACAGGTACAGACTAAGTGGAAATCTGGCTCAACAATAGTAACTATGAGAAGGATCTTGGAGTCCTTGTGGACAATCGCTAGCAGCCAAAAAAGCCAATGCAATCCTAGGCTGCATTAATAGAGGGATAGAATCAAGATCAAGATCATGTGAAGTTTTAGTACGACTTTATAATGCCTTGGTAAGACCACACTTGGCATTCTGCACCCAGTTCTGGTTGTGTTGTGGTTAGCCGGCAGCAGGTGCAGACGGCTGAGGAGAGTGAGGACTCAGATGAGGGGCCAGGACCATTAGGGAGTGGACTGCTGCCTTCAGAGATTGTGGGGGCTGGCAGCAGCGATGAGGAGGTTCCCGAGGAGCCTGTGCCAAGTGCACATGCGCACAGGATTGCTCACAGGCAAGAGCAGCTACAACAGCATGGGTGACTTGGGAGTAAGGCTGCAAGGTAATGGGCCCTCCTTCAAGCAGATAGAAGCCAGCTGTGAAACGAACATTCTTTGCAGAAGGCAAAGACGTTTTGGAACTCCAGCCTTGTGGGCATTCCAGCATCCTGAGTTTGTATTTGAAAATTCTTGTATTGCAAAGTATTTCTTGTCTGTTATCTTTTGGCAGTCTCGCAGAGTTTGGCAAGGCTTGTGCTTATCACAGCTAATTATTTTGCAGAAGCATTAAAAGGTTTCTGTTCCTTTTGGATTGTGTTTGATTTGTTGGAAAAGGGCGTGGGTCAGAACAGGTTGCCACAATGTAAGAAAAGATGTTGAGACTATTTCCAGAGTGTAGAGAAGACCAACCAAGATGATTAGGGGACTGGAAGCTAAATATATATAAAGAAAGGTTGCTGGAATTGGATATGTCTAGTTTAGTGAAAAGAAGGACTAGGGGTGACATGACAGCAGTCTTCCAATATCTCAGGGGCTGCCACAAAGAAGAGGGAGTCAAGCTATTCTCCAAAGCACTTGAGGGAAGGACAAGTAGCAATGGAGGGAAACTAATCAAGGAGAGAAGCAACCGAGAACTAAGGAGAAATTCCCTGACAGAACAATTAATCAGTGGAACCACTTGCCTCCAGAAGTTGTGAATGCTTCAACACTGGAAGTTTTTAAAGAAGAGATTGGACAGCCATTTGTCTGAAATGATATTGGGTTTCCTGCCTGAGGAGGGGGTTGGACTAGAAGACCTCCAAGGTCCCTCCCAACTCTGTTATTCTGGTGTTTTTTTCTCTCCTCTCTTTCAGGAGCACCAGCTAACAAAAGTGACTCACTTAATATCTACTTTCTCCTTGACGCCTCAGAAAGCTTTGGCCGAAAAAGGTTCATAAAGGCCAAGGAAGCATTGGTGAAATTAATCCAGAAGGTAGGTTCCATTTTGAAAGCTTCCTTGAACCAGGTTTGCTTCAACAAAACTGAAAGCAGCTTGAACTACAAGACCCATGCTCCAGGGTTGTCAATATTCCTAGAAAGCTCTTGTGACACATGGAAGAAGGGCAGATAGCTTTTGGAAAGATGGGGATAGGGTCAATTTTTTTAAATAATGGCCATGCTATAGAAATTGCCTTGTTAAGTAGGCAATAAGCATACAGTATATATCAGTGGTGATATTCTACCGGTTCGGCCTGGTTCACCCAAACCGGTAGTAAAAAAAAAACAGCTACCGGTTTGGCTGAACTGGTATTTCTTTTTTTTCCCCTCTCCTGATGATCAGCTGTTCCGATGATCAGCTGTGCTGGGATTCCCCTCCCTGTCTTACTGCTTCGCCCAGAAGGCTTCCCTGAGGCCCAGGAGGCAAAAAAACGGAGCACGGGGAGGGGGGCGCACAGTAAAAAAAAAACGCACTCCGTTTTTTTGCCTCCTGGACCTCAGGGGAGCCTCCTGGGAACAAAAACAGCCTCCCCTGAAACATGACAGGAAATCCTCAATTTACAACCGTTCCTGTAACAATTGTTCAAAATTACAATTACAGACCAGTTTGGGTGAACCGGATGTTAAAGTTACATCTGGTTCACCAAACCGGTATTTCAACAGACTGGCTGGCCCTGCCCACTCTGTCCCTCCCCTCCCAGGAGTCTCCACATGGCCCATTTTCGATGGAGGTGTCTGCGCGGAGGGTCTGGGAAGGGAGAAAATGGGCCTTCCAGAAGTCTAGAAATGGGCCGGTTTCCAGATCCTGGAGGGCTTCCAGAGCCCAAGGGAGGCTGTTTTCACCCTCCCAGAGGCCCGGGAGGGCAAAAAAGGGCCCTCCTGGAAAAACCGGAACTTGCAAAACGGGCCTGTTTCCGGCTTCCGGTGGGCCTCCAGAGCCCAGGGGAGCCTGTTTTTTGCCCTCCAAGAGGCCCGGGGGAAGGTCCGGTAGGCCATGGCCACCATGGCCACGCCCACCCAGCAACTGGGCAGCGAATCGGTTGCTGGGATTTTTGAATCCTACCCCTGCATGAAAGGCATCTCCTGAGACGTCTGATTTTTCAGTGGAGGAGGAGGCTTGATGTGCCATCAAGTCATTTTCGATTCCTAGTGACCACACAAATAGGATTTCCTCCTTGATGTTCTAATCTCTAGCCTGTTTATTTCATTTCAATCACCCTGGAAACTGAAGCCAATAATTTCTTAGATCAGGGGTGTCAAACTCAAGGTGGAAATGTGTTTGGCTTTTTTTTTTGTTCTCTTTTGGGCTGGTTCATTGTCTCTTTTGCATAGTCATAGATGTTTTTAATGTCTGCGTGACTATTGATGACTTAGACTTTATTGTCACTAATTGGCATACATTGAAATGAAATTTCATTGCATGCGGCTCTCAAAGGGTCTCCGTCCCCAATATATACTACAACGACAAGAAAAATATGCATATACCCACATAGCCACATAGATTCTTTGACACAGAAAAACAACACAGTCTAGTCCGGATATATACATGTACATGGGGAGAAAAACGAATCCTGCAAATTTACCAGATGGATGGCGTAGGGCAGTGGTCCCCAACCTTTTTTGTACCACGGACCAGTACAATCCATGGACCGATCCACGGACCGGTACCGGCATCAGCACGCACGACCAAGGCAAGGCGAGCCGAGCGACTGGCCAGCCAGCTGTCCCCCGCTTCTCCCCGCCACCTTCAACTCCTCCTTTGTACCTTCTCGCGGTCGATGGGCTTTTCGGGCTCTTTCTTAATCTCCTCCTGAGTAACGTGAGACTCCACCGCCATTGGGATGGCTCTTCGTTCGAAGCCACCACCACCCCTTCGATGAAACTAAGGTGCAAGGATTCCTTCAGCACCCAAACGCCGCTTTCCAACTGACGACTGACAAGCTCACCTGGAAGCACTTTCTCAAGCGCCGTCGGAACAAGATGGCGGCGCCCAAGTAAAGTAGGCCCTACTTTCATTCTTTGCGGCCTGGTACCAAATGATCCACGGACCGATACCGGTCCGGGGCCCGGTGGTTGGAGACCCCTGGTGTAGGAAAGAAAGCCGTTACAGAATCTGGTGGTCTTGCTAGAAATATTTCCAAACCTCCTCCCAGAGGGGAGCAACATGGCCTAAGTTGTGGCTAATTTGGCTAATTTGTCAGAGTACCAGGCTTCCAGAAATTCCTTGGCATTATTGGGCCTGATTCGTTCTAGGATGGTCACATTTTTCCAATTATAAGTCTGCCTATGGTTTGCTTTGGGGCAACTTCAAGCAAAATTTATCAGAAGCGGTTTAACCCCTTGGATGATATTATTATTGTTATTGTGTTTTATTCATTAAACATGAAATTCAGTAAATTGAACATTTAAAAATGTATCATGAATATCATTGACTGGCTCTGATGGTTGATACGGTTGCTGCCAGCATCCTAGATATCGACCAAGAATCTTCTGAAAATTATTATTATTAAATTATTATTATTATTATTATTATTATTATTATTATTATTATTATTAT